TTCTGTTGGTTACCATTGCTCGTCATCTGGGTCTTCCAAAAATTCTTTTTTACTTCGTCCAACAATTTTAGGTTTTCTGTTTTTAAGAATATTATAGCTGATGTACGTGTTATGCGGAATGGACAGGAAAGGGACATAAAACGCTCTGTAAAACCTATGTGACCTGCGAAAAGAGAAGATAAAAGCCTAACTATTGATAACAAGGTTGTTTCATTACAATAGTGTCAATATGAAAAAAAGAAAAGACCCAACACAAAAAACATGTGGCTGTGAAAAAGTACAAAATGTATCGTAAACACTCAATCAATTGTAATCCTTCACAAATAGTCATCTCACAGGATAAATATATAGAAATGTTTTACTTCTGTAAGACTATGCAGTGTCCAAATAAGATTAGAACCATGCTTAAATTGGCATGGAACTGTATAAACAACACTGTTATTCTACACAGATGTCAAGCAATTTATTTAAGTTACATACTGAGGTAGGAGTGGTTAAGACAGCCGTTCATAGACAGAATCCAATTTAGATGACATTCACAGTCGTCCAAAGAAATCCTTTCAGAAAAATTGTCATTTTCACTCACAATAAAGAGAGATTGAAGACACAGAACTTGACAATTATAATTGATGACTACACTTTTAGATCAATAATTTTGACACAAAGTTTTGTAGAAAACACGAGCGAACAATGCTGTTTTTGTAAGGTCCTTAATCTGCTTTCAACGTGGCTACATAAGATTACAGGAGACCCAATAAAAGACATGTAGTTTTCACAATGATGCCATAAAAATCATGCGTTCTATACTACAAAATTTGGAGACCTTTCACGACCACTCAAGACTCATTATACAGGGAAAGTTCACAACATCTGGGACGAATTATGAAAGAATCGTCATGACAATCAGTAAAACAGTACAGAACAGTCAATGACCAAAGGGAGATGACTTTGCAGGACAAAAAAAATTTATGTAAACTTCTACAATTCCTTTAGTGCAATTCAACAGACAAGTAAACATAAAAGTAGGCTTTGCACTCATATTGAATAACAAAGCGCGATTCCACATTTTTTTTTTTTTTTTTTTTTTTTTAAAGTCAGCTGTACTCACAAACTTTTAATGATTATAAGCGAAAACAAAAAAAAGGTCTACGATGATGCTGGGTTCCCACAAATCAAAAGCTAACATCGCTAACAAGAACAGGCATAACACTAATGAGAGCCAGTGAACAGACACCGCTGAATCACGGCAACATCTTTGATGAGCCACCGAGGAATCACATTCTCCAGTATTGTCACTTTTTTCAAATGAGTGACAAATTTTAATTTCCACGGTTTCTCATTGTTCAAGCCATCCCCTGGGGTTTTAATTACATTTAATCAATACACACAAGTCGTTAAAAGACACCCCGGCTGAATACAGAGATGGTGAGAATGAACTTGTTTGCAGAGAATTCATCAAAAGTTTACGTGCCACCGAGTTTGTCCGAACAAGATTTATTTTTAAGAGGTTCCGTCACAAATCATTCAAGTACGTACATTGATTTATAGTCGAGAGTGAATGCACAAACGAAATGAAAAGAATACATCCAACTTGACCTGGAATACTAACAAACAGCTGGCGTCCACAAAAGATTATACAGTTAGGACACAGTAGATCTGCTGAAAGTATCCTGATATGTTTAATGATATCACTGGGTTTAACTCCTGAACTGTGATTAATGGAATCCCATGCACTCGTGTACATGTATCATAATTGTGTACTTTTACTGAAGTGTATTTTCTTGTCCATTCATGCATTAGTAATAGTGACATTCATTACAAAATGCACAGTAAATCATCAAGTGTCTTGGGTATTAACCTACTAGTAGAACTAAGTCATTGAGACATTGATTCGCAAAAAAACATAAACATTTTCTGGTGACAAGGATATTTATCAGTGAAATATGGGGAAATTGACAATTCTTTAGGCTTACTTGAGTTAGCTTATTAGATGTTCACATTTTTGATAAAGGAATTCTCAATAGCACATGTACTTTTTAATTAAAAGAAGTGAGCTTGTAATAGAGAGAATACAGTAACATGCTAGGTCAGGTATGAGAAATGTAGTAGGGCTGAATGCATGGATGGCTCTACACACTGGCGGAACAGATAGATGAACGAGTCTGAAATAAAAAGTCAAGTTTACATGGGGGTTTAATTATCAGGAACTATGTACATGGACGCTTTTACATCTGAACTTTGACAGAGGCCTGCAGGGTGAGACACAAGCCATATGTGACACGAGTAACAACCCACACCCCACGCCCACACCTCCATCTCCCAGCCCCCAGCACGAAATATTTGTCAAAGTTTAACATTAACACAAGCAACCGTGAAACATCTGCAGAATGAACAAGCACAGATAATAACAGCAAACAAAATTTAGTAACTGCGACCACAGGTCAGGGGTTAGAAGGTCAGGGGTTAGAAGGTCAGGCAGTCTCAATATTTTTGCTGCATGAAAAAATTGAATACATCTTGGCCTGACATGACATGGTTTGAAAGAAAGTGAGCATCTGCATTATTATTTAAAACCATAACTCAGATATTTGATAACAGCGGTATTTGAGAATCATAGTGTACATTGTATGCCAGTTGAAATACAGTATATAATGTGGATAAGGATAAATATAAATCTTCTTTACACAGATACTGTGTTTCATCTTGTAGATTAAATGCACATGTATTTATGAAAATGATGAAGGAGTACTCAATATTGATTATAAGAGCGGCAGAGTGTGTTAGAAGTAAGTGGCCAACAAGGGCTTGTTTATACTAAGGGAGTTTTGTCCCTCACCCCCAAAAGTCTTCCATTCTCTTCCGTAATAATGTAAACTGTTCTATGTAAGCACGGTATTTGTAACTGTGGGTGCAGTGGCAGGAGAAAAAAGAACCATATTTGAGGCGCAAAACATTTCTCCACATTGACATTTTTGCGCTAAATGTATTACGTCGTAAATGTATTGAGGCATACCTTGATGCATCCAGGTAATTGACGCTTGCAACAACTGACCAATCATGTTTCATTTGTGAGTAGCGCGGTTCTCGTTGCGTCTCCTCTGGCGTGTCCAAGTCAATGAGATAGTGACATTTCTTGATATCCAACTGTGAAAAACAAAGAACATGATGATTTAAATATCTGGAAAATCGAGTGAATTTCAATTCATTTGCGTGATTATTAAATAGATGTTAATATGTTATGAAGAATGCAAATAACAAAATCTTGTTAATTTCCACATGGTGTTTACATGTGAAAGTAAGAATACTTGATGTTTGTAAATAACAATTTTTTCAAAATTCTGTTTTCATTGAAAATTAGCAATTCTAAAAGTAAATTTGAAACAAAACATGACAAAGAATTAAAGAAAATGAATGACATATTGGCTACAAAATCTGGATTTTCGGTAGCAAATACATGCACAAACATTTGGTATGAAAATATATTTTGCATTTTGTAAAATATCTCGCTACTAGATATCGACCTTTTAAAAAGAAAATACACATTAACAATAGTCAGCGGTGATCACGAAGTTCAAATCAGATCCTGTCATGAGATCCAGAGATAAAATACAACTGGGTATATTTCAAAAGTTGTTTGCATTTGGAGAACTACTAAAAGTGTAGATATGAAGAGCTGTATATAATATCATATGAAAAACTCTTTTGACATTTTTGATTGAAAAAACTTCATAAACGTGGAAACCAAATCAATCATGGTAAATGTACAAGAAATACTTTGGACCATGAAGAACTACTCTGTTAGTGCGCCCTCTTGAGTCAGCCCTTCTCTGATTTAACGGATGTTACAACTTTACAATATTTTGGTCACTCACAAATCACTTAACGAGAAAATTATTCATTCAAAACATGCAGTCTCATATCTGGTATTAGGTTCTAAAATAAACTGCCGGAATCCGTTACACTCAAAATGTCAAATGTGAACCTACTAATAATTCAATACAGATGGTGGCCGGGATAAGAGGTTAAAAAACAATGTTCCTTGTAAAAATTATGATGACATATAATGTGGAGAAGAAACTGATATCAGAATTAGCTCATACTGTGGTGTTAATTCACCAAGTAAACTGATATAAACATAATAAATTGAACACAGTTTGGGGGCAATTCTTTACAATAGAGGTGAAGCATCAAAGACCCAATTCTGCTACAAATGTTCTACTGCAGAAGAAAATAATATAGGAAATACACTAATTGTACAAAATTATATTTATATTATATTTATTTATTTTTGCAACCTGTATTTTTGAGCCACAAATCATTTGATATATATTTATATTTACTTTTTATTTTCAAAAAATGTCCGGTCTGAATAAATAAAATCATTCTAGGTGTCATATGTGTGTGCTATTCTGCTTTGTAACATAAATATTAAATAAATTTTAAAACTTTTATGCAGCGAACTCGGAACTGACATTTTCATTTTTTTTCCCAGTAAAATTGACTCCCAAAGAAGTAATGGGCAATTATGACATATAATAGTACATCATATTAGATACACCAAACTTTACAAGTTCTATATACTGAGGTAACAACAGAGCATCAGAATGTCTTTTTTTCTGAACATAACAATCCAGCAAAAAACACCAATCTTTTTTTCTTCATATTTTTGTGATGTCTGCTTTTCATTAAAGGGTGGTGGTCATGTTTGAATTTCATGTGAACAAACAATGTATTTCATGCATGATATGTATGACACTGCGAGTCCCATATCGAACAGGGTGCAGCATGACAACCATCGCTCTTTACCTTTTATTATATAATTGAACTTTGGAGTAGGTTCTAAAACCGTTGTATGCAAGATACCTGTGGGAATTTGGTATAACAATAATGTGTGCAGCTGTCGGACTTTGTTTTCACACTATACACTGTTAGCGATTTGATTTGTGAATTTGTCATTCTGATGATGACACTGTATATTTCATGTCAATCAATCCATTAAATGTGCCAAAGAACTACAATGTTATGCAAAGAATAATCAAAGCATTGAATATGGACTAACAACATGACAGAAAAAAATCATTTAGGGATGACAATTTTTTTTTTTTTTTTTAATTTGAACCTTGGCTGGTGCTATTCTGGATTAAGGACATTTTCACTGTATTTTAAGTTGACCATGGTGAGAATACTCGCAACATAAACCTCGGATTGTCACTGTACACAGGTTTGACTGTACAATGTACCTTGAATGGTCACTGTACAAAGGTTTGTCTGTACAATGAACCTTGGACGGTCACTGTACACAGGTTTGACTGTGAACTATGGGTAGTCACTGTACACAGGTTTGACTGTACAGTGAATCTTGAATGGTCACTGTACAAAGGTTTGTCTGTACAATGTACCTTGAATGGTCACTGTACAAAGGTTTGTCTGTACAGTGAATCTTGGGTGGTCACTGTACACGGATTTGACTGTACAATGTACCTTGGATGGTCACTGTACAAAGGTTTGACTGTACAATGTACCTTGAATGGTCACTGTACAAAGATTTGTCTGTACAATGAACCTTGGATGGTCACTGTACACAGGTTTGACTGTGAACTATGGGTAGTCACTGTACACAGGTTTGACTGTACAGTGAATCTTGAATGGTCACTGTACACAGGTTTGACTGTACAGTGAATCTTGAATGGTCACTGTACACAGGTTTGACTGTACAATGAACCTTGGATGGTCACTGTACAAAGGTTTGTCTGTACAATGAACCTTGGATGGTCACTGTACACAGGTTTGACAGTACAATGTACCTTGGATGGTCACTGTACACAGGTTTGACTGTACAATGTACCTTGGATGGTCACTGTACAAAGGTTTGTCTGTACAATGAACCTTGGATGGTCACTGTACACAGGTTTGACTGTGAACTATGGATAGTCACTGTACACAGGTTTGACTGTACAATGAACCTTGGATGGTCACTGTACACAGGTTTGACAGTACAAGGAACCTTGGATGGTTACTGTACACAGGTTTGACAGTACAATGCATCTTGGATGGTCACTGTAAAAAGGTTTGACTGTACAATTAACCTTGGATGGTCACTGTACACGGATTTGACTGCACAGTGAACCTTGAATGGTCACTGTACAAAGGTTTGACTGTACAATGAACCTTTGATGGTCACTGTACAAAGGTTTGACCAGCAAAATACAGTCCCTGTTAATGTTAAAGACTATAAGCATGGTTTGTTATAAAATGAATAATATACATGTATAAAATGTACATCTTTATTGTTTTTAATTGCTTTACCTTAAAAAAGTTTCATCTGAATTCAAATCTACTGTGCATATAGAACACGGCTGACAGGAACAAGTTTCCTTTTTATATATAATGACATAGCCACCGTTGGAATTAGGGTATAATTAGGGTATATTAGTATATAATATATAGTTTGAAGAGAAGAAAAACATGTCAACAATACATTTTGAAAAAACAAGATGGCTGCCACTTGGTCATTTTGGATTCGAACACGGAACAAATCACCAAGGACATGTATCCCAACACAAACAATGTTTGTATCAAATTTGAACAAAAACCAACAAATCCTGTCCAAGATATCAAATTTTCAAAAAAAACAAGATGGATGCCAGTCAGCCATCTATGATTCAATCTGAATCTGTCTTAGAGAAAAAACTCCCAATATTTAGCTCCCAATCGAAACAACTGCAAAGGTAAAACTTACATATCGTGAAGTTTCTTCTAGATTCATATCATTCATATGTGTTGGAATAATTCTAGTTGCATCTTGGTGACTACTGTACATCTTTGGAAGCTGACCACGGAAATCCGATTGGATGAAATGCAGATGCCATCTAGGAGGTCAAAATAACACAACAAAATTTCAGAACACATGTATTAAACAATGAACACAACTAACTGTTACAGATATGTGACTATAGTTACTTCTAAGTTCACCTTTTTTACTTATGAAAATAAAAATGTACGAGTCTCAGTTGTATCAATTTGTACAAATTTATTCCCAATGACTGCAAGAGCAGAACTTTATGCTATGAAAAAATCACAAAGTCATTGTTTTCATTTTGGTACCTCTCTTTTGATTTGCACTAATTTCACTGCACATATGATGAATTTGTAATCACAAAACAATGAATGTTTTCAGTTTTTAGAAACCTACAAAAAGCCAAATATGAACAAACCATTTTTGATTAATGAACTCACGGCCAAATTTGTAACAAATAATTGATGGCTCTGCATATTTTTAATAAATCATGAGTCAAATAAGTAATAATCTGTGCTTGGAATGACATTTCAAGTTTGTCACAAACACGACATTTCAGAGATGATGACATTTTCAACATCATCTTTAAATAATCGATTGGTATGAAATAATTCTTGAAACAAAATGCCACTATAATCCACCGGTTATCCATACATTTGTGAAGAAAAGCGTATGGTGGAAATGGACATTCATATCTTGCGTTTCAAGGAAGCAGAAAACTTTGAAAAAAATACAAATTTATTGAAATATTTCCTGAAAGTCACATTGCTTAAACTTGCTCAAAACAATTGTAAGCCGCCAAACATGAATCCACGGACAATGTTATTTGATATGATCCCAACTGAATTAAAGCACAACATCGCTCAATACCATCTACCAGTACTGTAAACTGCTTAATTTTGCAATATGACCGCCAGGAAATTTTTCACTGCTTCAAAATCCTGCAAAATTTGTAAAAAACGTGTGTAAAATTTAATTGGCTTACAGTATGTATCTAAAGTACCGGTATGTACAAATGTTGAATACACACTACTGAGGGCGCTGTTCCAGCACAATCATATCTTACCTGTCATTTGGTAGAAAGAAACTGGATGTATATCGATACCATTCTTTACCAACACATACATTAACATTGGCATCCACAGGTAGTGCATGAATAACTGGATCTTCTGATATTTTTGTTAACTCAGGGTATACATCCAATGGAGCATGGTAACCTTAAAATTATAAATAAGTTCAATAGTCACATTGTGTGTCATCTAATTGCTATTGTCAGTCATTAGTCACAATATCATCAGATACAAATTTTTTAAGAACCAGATATCAATGTTTCATAAAATGTAAATACAAAATAAAAAGATACAGCTAGTCATTTAATTGATTAGTAATCCTGATTATAATGCATAGTAACAGAAAATATTCAAATTACTATCAACTGCTTTTTAACTTA